TCGAGTGTGCTGGATGAGGACGGACCAGATCTCGTGAGGATGACGATCGACTGAGATTGTTCGACTATTTTGAAACTCGGACGATGGGTGTTGGTCGGAGATGGAAGGGCTGATGTTTCCAGTATAATGATCAGTGACGGGGCTGTTGTTCCAAGGACGGGCTGAAGGTCGACGATGGCCACAAGTCGCCATGGCTGGTCGCACTCCTCGGAGAAGGCGACTGGAGATTCTGAGCACCGGTGACATGGACGAACGACGATAAAAGATTTGTCTTGACGACTTGAGTTTTTTCGGCCGAAATTATAGAAGTCAAGAGCTTTTTTTTAACGCGTTTTGTTAGAGAAATCTGGGCATTTGTGAAGTCCATAACATATATGGAATTAAACATCATTGAACTGAGACTATTTTTTCTTTAGTTATATTTGTTTATTTATTTTCATATTTATTGACATTATTTATTTAATATGCCTCATATTTTTTATGGTATGTTGCTTATTAATTGTGTAATCTATTACTCCCTCTATTTTAAATTATTTGTCGTTTGAGCGTGTATTTTGTTTTACTTATTACTTGTCGTTTAAGATAACCTTGGACTTATTAGTTTGATAATTATCTTAAATCCTAAAATTTTGTAGTTCAGTTCCTGGTTGTTATATTTTTTTTGAAACCACCTATCTTTATATATAAACTCTCCTACTTCAATTATTAAATACTTATTATCTATAAACTCTCCTACTTCAATTATTAAAAAAGTATTTAAATAAGATTAGGAGATTTAGAAAAATCTAATAATAGGATAAAATAACTCATTCCTTCAAAATCGTAATTTTTTTTTCCTTTTGTGCTAAAACGATCTAGACGACTACAGGAGGGTCAACTTCAACGAGTTCCGGCAGATGATGAAGTACGAGTTCGCGCCGCTAGGATGACTTGGGTGCGTTAGTTCATCTTCTTTTTCTTCTTTTTATATTATTATCAATAACAATTGCTATAATGAATCGATTTTGATTCTTGCCTCATATGTAAAGGAAACAATCACACACAAAGTGAGTTGCTGTGACACGCGGGGTGCCGATGAGCAGGTGGCCGATCTAGCGGAGCAAAGGATTGATAAGGTGTTCATGATGATGTAAATTTGGGGGTTAAGATTTTTTACGCGCGCACAAAAAAAAAAAAAAAAGTGCTTAGAAGTTTTGTGTGTTTGATGTATGCATATGATTGTCTGAATATAAAGAAGGATTTGAAGATGCTCAAGTAAGTGACTAATTTGAATTTCTTTTTAATGAAAAGTAAACATTTTTTAGCTATGAATATGCAAATATTTGGATTTTAGTGGGAGGTTTTGCAATCATTAATGGTTAGTTTGATTAAGAAGTATGAAGTATTTGTGTTTAGATTTTGATTGGGTTAATTGATATGTTCTTCACTGGTATGATTTTATATGTTGTATTTATCTTTCAATAATGAGATGTTAAATATAAATAATTACAGTTAAAAAAAAATAAGTAACATACCCGTCCGTGCATTGCACGGGATGCACACTAGTTCATGAGAATACGTTTTTCAAAATTTCCTACAGTAGTAAGTAAATGAGTGCAATTTTATTATTTCACTTCTTTGGTTCTGTGGGATTGGGTCATGCGTGTTGCAAAATTGGTCCCTAAATTGTAAAAATTTTTGTTGCACATTTGTTCCCAACTCCATCAAAACTAACGGGATAGTTTTGTGTGCCGTTATCATCGTTAGGTTGAAAAAGAAAAAAAATTGCAAATTTAGTCTCATTATATTTAACCATGTTGCAAATTTAGTCTCAGATGTTGCAAAAATGCTTCTTTACTATTTTTTGTTGCAATTTTGATGCCTTAAATATACAATAATATTTGATAGTAAAAAATTTTTGTTTAGACAAAATAATGTTCAATTACTATACAATGTTTCTATATTTTAAATTATTATTTTTAATTAATATATATATATATAAATATTTAATTAATTTTATCATAATTATAGTGGCTAACAAAAATAAAAATATATATATAATTTTATCGTAATTATACATTTTTAAATATAATACAAATATTATTTTAAATATTTGGTATATATAAACTCAAATTTATATTATTATATTAAAAAATAAAACGGCAGTGTACCAAAACTAAATTTATATTATTATATTGAGAGGAATTTCTTTGGGACTTCTTTTCTATTTATTTTTTTTATTTATTGTGTTTGTTGCTATTCACTATTTTTTGTCGTTTTATTTTTAGTCTCAAAATTAAATTTATATCAAAATTTGTTGTATACATAAAATGGTGTTGTACTGTGGTGAAAGAAAGTTTTTTAAAGGCATTTTTTACAGTTATTTACGAGTTTCTATATCTTCGCATTTCACGTGTAAGTTGTACACGAAATTTTGGTCGTTCTTCTTTTGGTCTCAAAATTAAATTTTTACTATCACAGTTTGTTTTATACATAAAATTGTGGTGTATTGTGGTGAAATGATCAAGCATTTTATGGTTGTTTTTTACCATTAGATGTAAAATTTTTTATTTTTACATTTTGCGTGTGAAGTTGTACACAAATATTTGGTCTTTTTTTTTTTCGTATCAAAACTATATTTTTAATATCAAAGTTTGACGGTGTAATGTGGTTAAAAAAAGTTTTAGGGGCTTTCTGTACTATTATATATTTATGAGATTTTTTTTTTTAACATTTTCGTGTGTAAAAATGTGCACAAGCCCTTTTCTTTTGTCGAAAAACTAAATTTTTACTATAAAAGATTGTTATATACTTACCACATCAAAATTACAACAAAAAATAGTAAAGGACCATTTATACAACATTTGGGACCAAATTTGCAATACGTTCAATCTTGTAGGACTAAATTTGTAATTTTCTCTTTTTTAACCTAACGACTAACATCGCACGGAACCATATCACTAGTTTTGACGGGTTGGGACCACATTTGCAACAAAAGTGAGAAAAGGACCGATTTTCTAATTTGAGGGACCAATTTTGTAATAGGCCCGATCCTACATGACCAAATTTGCAAATTTTTTTCGTAATTATTTTTTTTTTCCAAACTTCTTTCATCTTAATAAATTTCAGTATGCTAAGCTTCATAGATTGATCATATTTAGTAGATTTCGTTAATTGAAATGTTAGTTTGAATCTATACTTATATTAAAGGGGATCATATTTACGAAATATAGTATGTAAAAAAGTCAAACTTAATTAATGAACTTCTAATTTTATCAAGTAGTAATTAATACATTTATAGTTTATGTTGACATAAAAAATTCTTCTTATAAATCTTAACATTAAAAATTCTGTAAGTAAATCCCATAAAAAAAGTATTCTTATAATTTTATGCTGAACTTCTAATTTTTAATCCTTCTTATCTTGACATAAAAAATCTCATAAAATCGGGTGAGCAAAAACAATCAAAATCTATACTTATATAATAAGGTATCCTATTTACCAAATTTAGTAGGTTAAAAAGTCAACGTAATTAATGCATTGTTATTTCTATTCATAATTTATTTAATTATTTTATTTATTTGTCTTATATCCCATAAAATCAGTTTTAAAAAAAAAAAAATCAAAACATATGATAAGTAAAAAATAAGGACGTAAAATCTTTACTAAAATAAAAGAGGCTTTATTTATTTGTCTTATTCCATATTAACATCGATTTTGTCGAAACAAATCTCATAAAATCGGTGAAGTCAAAATTTGTACGTAAAGTCTATCTATATTAAAAAAAAAAAGGCAGATTCAAAATTCTTTATCTAATTCCTTCTTTTCCTTATCTAATTCCTTCTTATTATCTAATTGTATGAAAATCTATTATGATTTTGTTCAATACTCTAATTGTATTTGTATTATATCCCATAAAATCAGTTTAACAAAAAAAAAATCCATAACATTTGATAAGTAAAAAAGGTACGTAAAATCTTTTCAAAAAAAAAAACTTTATTTATTATCTAATTGTATAGAAATCAGTTCTGATTTTGTTCAAACCGATTTCTGTATAATCAAATTCAGATTTTCTAATAAAAATATTAACAACAATATATATTTACTCTACCCATTATAAATTACAAATCTCAAAATATCGAGCCATCATCTTTCTCACTATCAACCTCCTGCGAACAAAAAATATCATCAATCAGTCTTTTTTTCAAAACAATGAATCAAGGATTTATGTTAATCAAGTCAATATGTCTAATAGACCTATGCTCAAAGTTCGAATTGTGAGAATGTTTTTCCAAGACTGGGCCAACACATACAAATCATGTCTCGAGTTGGTTCTGCATGATAAAACTGTAAGCCAAATTATTTGATTTTTTATTTTAATTTTGAAATTTAAAACGTATATTTTATTTTTTATTTTTTTATTTTCGTGTATGTATTTAGATATTTTTATACATGTTTAGTAAAATATATTTTCGTTTTTTTTTAATTATATTTTCAGATTTGCAATTTGTTTATTAATTCCACATATCATGTATGTATTTAGATATTTACATTATTTATATTTATTTTCGTGTATTGTAAAAAATTTTATTGAATATTGCATCTTATATAATAATCCCCAAATAAATATATCTCATGCCTTGCACAGGTCACGTACTATATATATTCCGTATATTTTTCTTTATTCATTTATATAAGGCTTAATTGCTTTAAAAATCATGACCTTTTACGTTTTGGACGTTTTAACCAAACCTTTGGAAATAGGCAAACATATCACGACCTTGTATAAAAATTGCAACCCGAACCCAATGTCTGTCGGCGGTGAATTTTTGACAGCGTGTCCGGCGTCCGTTCCTATGTGGCCTCGGCTGCTCGCTGACTTGGCACAACTAAACCGACGTGTTAAAAACCCAAAATACACATTTGATACACGTGCACACCCATCCCATATATAAATTGAAAATCGGGGCCCCAAAATTATCAAACCCTAATCCCAACTTGCAACAAAAAAATCCTTCTCTCTCGAAATCGAAGAAACCTGCGTTTGTTCCAATCGAATCGGGCCAACAAGGTGTCACGATCCGCACCCCCATTGTTGCGACCATGAGTGACAAGTATGGGAATCACTTTTTATTTTTATTTGTTGTTGTCGGATTTTGAAAACTGGTTCATAATTGTTGATATGGATTGTTTTTTTCGGTTTTTGAATTCAATGTTAATTATATATTAGATTACGTTCGATTTGTTTAATATTATTGTGAATTTCG